CTATCTTGACCAAACCCTTTTCTTACCATCGTGCGATGTCGCTACCAGTTTTCCTCACCTTGAACTCACTGGCCTGTTAATCATTCGATCTATGTGTATCACGGTGGCTGCGCCTGCAGTGCCGCATGATCGTCACCGGTGTTCAGTCTTTGCATGGTGTTCTCGATTGACTTCACACATTATACATCGAAATCTTGCAAGGTATCTAACGGCGGACACATCCGCCACGCTGTAAAAATCATGGACTCTGTATGGATTCGGTTTGGGTGATTTGGGTGTTTCTTTTTGAGTGAGATTGCATGTTCACTGGTCATTCATTCAGAGGACAACAGCTCAAAGGTGCCTCTCGCTGTGCAGTGGCGGGTGCATCCGCCATTACCAAATGGGTGAACAATTCGGATAGAAATGAGGTTGTATAAACGATATGGTGTACTTACGCGCATGCCGTCGTACCTGATCTTGCAAGTGTTGTTTCTATCGGTGCATCTTGCCTTAATACGAGATACCGATGCAGCGGTGCTGGACATCCAAATTCAACTTGAACTTTCCGCAATTCGCCCAAGAAAGAGCGACCTCTGTTCCAAATCGAGCCACCGGCGGAGTGTGGAATATGCTCCGGAGGTAATCCGCAAGCTATGGATAGGTTTCGTTCAGTATTCAGCTCAGGTAACTGTACTTTACTGCTGAAAGTGTGGTACCATTTGATTCACTTTCACAGCATAGCAGGTGTGCATATGTCGCATTCCGAGAGTATCTCAAGGCATTTACAAACCCTGCAGCAGCTTGTGAAGCCACAAGAATGTCCGGCACTGATTTTGCATGGAACCGGTGGGTGTAAAGCTAAAGTTCAACTGAGATCTTGTTGGCCATCTGGGCCGTTTCGTGTCCCGGATTTCATTTGGCCAGTAAAATTCTATAGTAAATTCGAACGGCTGCGGGGAGTGTACAGAGTGAGTTCCCATGCATAAAACCTACAGAACTCGTCGCAAACTAGTCCAGGACAAAAACAATGGATTGGGACCAGTTTTATTCGCCTCCTGATTGGCTGATCTCTGACGTGAAGCCGCCCAATTTGTTACGTTTATGACGTGGCGGATGAAGTACGGGGTTGGGCGGTGACCTCCGCCATACCCGCGCATTCGTCCGCCGCATTCGCGCACCCATCCGCCACCATCCGCCGTCTCGACTCTCGGGCAGCTAAGAATTTCTGCGCTGGAGACTGGAGACCTGCCGTGCCGAACCATCAACAGATAGGGTTCACCAGGGGTAGAGGTAGAGGTATGAAACAGTCAACCTCTACCTCTACCTCTCAAACCCTTACCTCTGGAGAGGTATAACCTCTACCTCTCCGGAGGTATCGGAGGTATCCAAAGGTATGTACCTCTGTACCTTTGACCTTTACCTCCCAAGGTATATGACTAGAGGTATGGCTCAAAACATGCTCAATGGGTGGATGCAAACCACTTAAGGCAATGTGTATGTTGTGTTGCACCTATTGTACCCCTCCATACACTGTCTCTGAGCTTTGGGACTCTATATTGACTTCTGGCACATGTTTCTATTATTGGCATTGTTATGATCTGGCTCAATACAGCTCAGATTCCTCCGTCATTTCAGCGACTGTTTTCTATTGGCATAGTCAGCTGCATATAGGGCAAAGTAGCACAGAAAGTGCCACAGAATTACACTCTGAGGTCTGTGAACCGGTACCTCTCTGTACCTCCCTACCTCCGGAGGTTGACAGAGGTTTGGCCAAAGGTACGGATCCTCCAACCTCTACCTCTACCTCTCTTGTACCTCCCACCGTACCTTGGGAGGTATACCTCTACCCCTGGTGATCCTTATCAACAGAGCAGCAAACTTGAAACCTGGTGATAAGGTGATAATTGTCGCGTCCTTGACGGAGTCGCGTCCTTGACGTAGTCGTGCCTTGACGGTGGACCCAGGAAGCCTCTGGCCGGAGGTCGGTAGCCGCTGACGCTACGCTGGTGCCCGCTTGAACGGAGGAGACTCATCAGAACCAGTGCCAATGCAATTCATCGGTTGCGGCCCACTGGAAAGATTGCGTCAAGTTCCTGCTTTTAACTCACAGTTGTTCTCCTTAGTTCTTTCCTCTACGACGTCTACCTTATGGTTGGCCTGCTCTTCACCTCTCCTCAGGCGTGCATCATTCTGCCTGGCTACCGCTCTGCGGCGGATACATCCGCCGGCTCCGAGAAAAAATCTCAACATTGTCATGTACTTGAGCCGTAACCCGACTCGGAATTCATGCAAACCTCAGCTCTCCATTTGTACTGAATGCAGTGTCTTTTAGCAAAGCGGGGACTAACGACAGGCTTCTTGCGTCCGCTCCGTTATTTACCGTTGCAGTCCTTCGCATAGGGTGTGTGGTGCATCTTCATCCCTCTGTCGCGGACCACTGTGTCTCAGGCTTGTGAATACTGTCTACCTCGTCCGAGTCGTGTCTCTGCACACCAACGCACCTGTTCATCTGCGGTTTGACCCTCTACCGCTTACTGTGTCCGCCAGCCCCAGATACGAGTGCCAAACGAGTGCTGCCCTTGATCCGTTATAGTTCCCATGTGGATATTTGCACGCGGTCGACAGCGCGTCGTTGGGCGGCGGATGCATCCGCCGCCTCTTCCACCGGCCCTACAGCAATGTCACATCTCGACTTTTCAGCTCTGTATCTTCCCCACGGCATTCTCTGACACTGTTTTCATAGGTATACATAGTATCATGGCTTGATCCGGGCCGCCGTGTTTTTTCAAAGAGTTTCATTCTGGGTTTTGAATGTTTGGTACGCAGTACATATCCATTGTGGACATATATGTCCAAGATCCCAATCCCTGTGAGGCAAACTGAAGATCGACGCGGCGGCGCGGCCGCGCGAAGGCGCAGAGCCCGCCGCTGCATGCGACGCGCCGGCACCAGGCGTATTTCCCGAAATGGAGAAAGACACCTAATAGTGGCGCAATCCGCCTGGCGGATGGGGCCTCTTAGGCCCCCTTTACTCATACAGCCGAGGGGGCCTAAGAGGCCCTTTACGGCATGTTGGCGGTTACTCCTGAGGTGGAAGAGAGGGGAAAGCGCATCAGTGGCTGTGCAGCTTTAAGACGCGCGTTCTTTGCGCGTCCTCCTCTCCCGCCCAACGTCTCTCCAAAACCGACTTCTTGACCCGGCTCCTCCCTCTGTCCTAAAGTTAGCCCTTTCAAATGCCGTTGCCCTCGCCTCTGCTGTCTCCCGGCCTCCCTCCAGCCCGATCGCCGATGCTTTCTGTGCCTTCTTTCGCCACCGACTAGGCTGCTCGTTGCGGCAGACTCAGAATCAACAGAGAATCGTATACTCGGACCGCTGCAATTGACTCGTATGCCATCCTCACACGATCGGGTATCTCGCTAGTCGCACACCGGTTCAAAAAGCTCAACGGTCAGGCTCATGCCTTGGGCCTGTTTCGAACAGGCGGCTGCTCCACGTTCTACGCCTACACGAAGAGGAAATGCAGATGTGCACCATAGGCACCCGCCACCAAGGCTTCCCTATCGAGAGTCTCGTCGGGCATGCCAACACAAGGATTCCGTTTGACAAATGGAACGTGGAGCCTACATGAAAATTGGTGCAGACGCGACGTGGTCCTGGGCCGCTGGTTAAGAAGAAAAAAAGGCTTGGATCGCAAGACGGCAATGCCTCGGCCTGATTCGAACAGGCGACGTCTGCATAAAAACCGCTACATTGCATGAAACACAGATGTGAGCCATCCACCAGCGAGGCTTTTTCATCCTCCCTTCAAGCTGAGTGCTCCATGCTCGTTTGGACCCACAAATCAGAGCCGCGTTGAGATAAATCCAATACATCAAGCGGGACGAATTTGAAACGTAGAACCTGCTGGACGTCCGGATGTCTGGCCGAGACGATAACGGAGTTTTTGAAGGACTAGGCACTCACTGGTGTGCAGTGTGCACAAAGTTGGAAAAAGATTGCGTATTCTATCCTTATGCCCCAGGCCCCAGGCCCCATTCGAATGGGCGATGTCTGCTTGTATTATTACTTTCCCCAAGATATGCCATGAACCGCAGGTGTGGACCATCCACGACCGAGGCTTCTCATCCTCCCTCATCAGCCATTTGACAAATAACTTGTGATCTTATTGCCTTTTCGGGCCTTGTTGGCTTTTTGATGGAAAAATACCTCCTCACTGTGGGTCGGTAAGTGTCGGGCAAGCACCGGAAATGATTTGAAAATGCTCATGCATGCTTACCGCTACCCCTCCACACGAGCAGTAAGTCGGAAAGGAAGAGCAAATGTGTCATTGCTCGGAGTCGAACTCTCGACCTTGCGATTTCGGGACATAGACTTGCGGCCTTTTCAGCTTGCGCGGTTTTTGGATCTTTTCAAGGCTTTTTTGGCCTTTTTTGGCCTTATACAAGGTCACAAGTTATTTGTCAAAAGTCTGATGCTCCAAGCTCAATAAGTGCTGGAAGTTTGGACCATCTGTAAGTACTTGTACTGAGGCAACAAGTAGTAGTTACTGTAACCCATCCCAAGCCGCGCCTGGTATGCCAATTTAAGGATTCCTCTGGACAGACTGAAGTTGAACCGCGCTTCAAGTTGAAAATTAGAGCGAAATGCACATAGCCAATAGTGTTCGCTAGTCAAAAACAGTTTCGACGATGGCCATGCCTCGGGCCTGATTCGAACAGGCGGCGTCTGCTTGACTTCAAATGGCAATCCTATGAAACGCAGCTGTAGACCTTCCACCGCCGAGACTTTCTCATCGTCCCCTCGCTCTCAATAATTGCTGCGCATTTGGACCATTCACACCCGCACTTTGGCCAGCCTGACATAGATCGAACTTGGAATGCATCAAGCTCAAGTTGAACGTTGGACGAATTCGAAACATAGAGCCGTCGGGAATTCTGGTCGAGATAATAACTGACTTCTCAACTTGACGGATCAGACGGCACACAAAAAGTAAAAAGATCGCACAAGTCAGCGGCTTATGCCTCAGGCCTGATTCGAACAGACGATTTCTGCTGGTTTTTTTGCCCACAGATATGGATTTTGTATGAGACGCAGATGTGGACCATCCACCGCCGAGGCTTTCTCATCCTCCCTTTAGGCTCAATAAATGCTACACGTTTGGACCTCCGAATGGCAGAGTCAGAGCCGCGCTGATATGAATTGAAGTACCTCGTGGGCCGTTGAACGAAATTCAAAAGGAGAGCTGCTCGAAGTCTAGCAGAGACGAATGGGTACCGCTGGTTAAAAAAGGGGAGAGAAACCCAATGGCTCGGGCCTGATTCGAACAGGTGACGTCTGCTTCATACCGTGAACACGCTAAGACTATACTATGTAACGCAGATGTGGACCCTCACTACCGAGGCTTTCTTATCCCCGTTCACGCCTAATAAGTACTGCACGTTTGAACCGCCAACCGGCAAGAGCCGCGCTGATGTGAACCGAAGTACCTCGTGGGCCGTTGGACGAATTCGAAACGGAGAGCCTACCGGGAGTGTGGTCGAGACTGTAACTGGATTTTCAAGGACGAGGCACTCTCACTGGTGCGCACGCGTTGTAGAAAAAAATAGCTCCAAGTTCTACGAAGCCGACGTATGCCTCGGGCCTGATTCGAACAGGCAATGTACCCAATTTCGAGACATATGAGATGCAGATGTGCCACCTACCACCGAGGCTTTGATATCATCGTCTCAACCCCGTTGTAATGACGTGTGGATGTTGAGAATATGTTGAGTCACAATGGTCTCATCTCCCTCCGCGGACCAGTTTTCAACCAATCACCTCACACTCGGCCATCTCGGGGTGGTTCGAAAACGCACACAAAAACCTTGTAACGCTGAATAAATACGGCTCCATCACTACACTACACAATCTTACAGCGCGCGCAAAAGTGTTGCACTTTTACGAAATTATGCAAACATCGTACAGAGGCTAAATGGGTTCCGGAACAATGCACAATAAATCACAAATAACACAGTAACGAAAAATGATACGGGGATTCTGTTTGCATATTCAAGCTCTACGACCTCGAAAACATGGTTTACAACTGTTTCCCACGTCATAGCTTGGCCTGACCTCTAGTAAAGCGCGCACGAAGTGATCAGCCAATTTTGGCATAATTACCACTTCCGGAATAACAATCATTTTTACATGACTTTGGGCCTTGACACGTCTTTTCTTACCCAGGGACATCTTCTGCACCTCTAATACTGCACATACACGGTCCAGCATGTCAGTAACACCAGCCTTGCAGCACCAGCACAAAAAAAGATTTTGTTTGTGATTTGGCTCATGGACTGTGATCGTCAATCAGAAAGAATTGTCTTCCATGCAACAACGGGGGAGGGTTTTGACTTGATATCTTGTAGGGCTATAGACAGGACATCTTAGATTACCTATGAGAAAATTTGAACCTGTAGCGCCATCCGTTGCACTGAAATATCCATTGTTCCGGAACTGGTAATGTTCCGGAACCCATTTAGCCTCTGTAGTCCAAATTCTGACCGTGCAAGACGAACACATGAATCTCACGGAGACACTTGGAGTGAAAACTGCGACTTGATCATATCATATACACTGTGGGGTGAAAGGATGAATGAAGTAAAAATCATGAAGCGCAATCCTCACCTCAAAAAATGGGAATTATTCATCCTCTGGATCTTCCTCGCCCATCGGATCGTAATATGTCCTGCTGGAGGTAGGTATGAAGGAGAACCCCGGAATCGAGGGGAATGCCTCTCGATACGCGTCTCTGGATGTCGTTGTCGCGCCTGTGATGCACACGTCCTGTAGCGTGCAGCCCGACGCGGATATCAATGACCGCAACATTTCAATCGGTTTTGGCCCAATGAATTTTTCCGAGATTTCGAGAGTCCGGAGAGCGGGGACGACGAAGAAACGGAGATACTCGTTCACTGCGGTATTGACTGGATCATGCAGGGCCAGCGATTCCAAGCGCGGAAGCGTGATAATACTATCAACAGCACTTCCATCGCCAGTGAAAAGGCGTAGCTCGCAGTGGACTAGGTTGGTGGTTTGTTTCAAGACCGGAAGGCACTCGTACAGATAGACGCTGTTCAAAACTAGGGAAGTCAGTTGCGCCCAAGGCAATGTGATATATGCGGCAGCATGGTCGTTGAGAACCACGCTGCGAAGCCGAGGAAGTTGTCGGAATGTATCAGTGTCGGTGACGGAGTCAGAAGGCTCGTCCATGATTTCTATATCCAGATGGGAGAGGAGAGGCATCCCGCCTTGAATGATGCGAAGATGGGACAAGGGGAGGAAAAGCTTCATGTGCTTTAACCGTGAATAGTGAGCGGCAACCACGGCGAAAATAGCAGATACAGCTTCATCGCCTAAAAAATCCTCCGAGTCGGCATCGCCCAGTTGGATGGAAAGTGGGCAAGAACGGGACCTGGTAAACCAGCTGTCGAATATCAGGAGCTGTGTTTTGAATGGGATATCGGTGGAGGACAATGGTATGGCCCGCCAAAGTGTGGGGGTGGCCAGCGCAATCTCCCGCCATCGGTGACATATTTGTGTCAGGGAAACCGGCGAGAGAGTGCCGGTAAGTGGTGGGAAGCGAGGGTAAGTCGGCAGGAAATGCATGAATATCTCGGACACGATTTCAACTGGCAGGGTCAGCGCTGGATACTTGTAAGAGTCAAGCCGCTCCTGTACAAGCATCTTCTCGAGCTGCAGAGCAGTAAGAGAACGCTCAAGGTGTAGTATCTGGGCTTCTAGATCCGCGAGGCGAGCCCGGTCGGCTTCGAGCATACTTGAGGGGCGGCTGACTATGAGAGTGGAGAACTGGCGGCGGTGGTGTGGTGGAAGAAGACAAGTGCCACTGATCTTGTTGTTTGCCGGGCCCCGGCAGCGGCCGATTTGATGCGGAACCGCCAGCCCGCCGGACGGTCTGTCTCCCTACGTCGGCCACCCACAACTCACGCCCGGAATCAGTTCTGTCTGGGATTTAAGCGATGCGTAAAACCACATACGCGCCAATTGTTTCCCCCCTCCGTAAACCCCCGAAACAGAAAGTGCGGCAACTTCTGCTGAAGCTGCCACTGGCAGGCGTATTTGAAGGTATTTCCGAAATGGCACACGACTAATAGTCTTTTTACTCAAAGAACTCGCGTATTACGGCAACCTGGCGGTGGCTCCGACCACAAGGCTACCTGGCCACGTCACTAAGTACGCCTGCCAGTGCTTGGAAAGCGTCCATGCATCACTCGCTCGATCTGAGAAATCTTTCGAACATCAAGTCCACGAGAATACGGGTAAGCCACCGTGCAGTCCACGACTCTGACGCAAGCTGACAAAAAAATACAGCGAGTCGCGAACGCAGTAGCTGCGGGCTCAAAAATCGACCTCCGCGTATTGAATGCTGTGACTGAAATCATACCCCCAACGGAAGCAGTCTTTGTCCTCCCAGCTCTTTTTGTGAATATCGACTCCGCCAGGATTCCTGATCCCAGCACCTTGGATAGCCTATTGTCGAGTTCCTCGCACATTCCGTCTCTTTTACTCGCCTTCGAATCGATACGTGCTATCACCAGGCTTGCAGTCATCCATGTCCTCCCGGTCGACGCCTTCCAGGACCTATGGCCACACATCTGGAACTGGCTTGACTTTATTCACAGCTACTGGGATTGCTTGCCGATGTTAGGAGACCGCACCAGCCAGGTGAAGGCAATGGTGGGGCATTCTGTCATCATCCGTGCCCTGGACAAAGACGAGAATACATCCAAAAATATACGATCCACACCCGGCGTCAGGCGCCTTCTTGCCGCTGCTTGGAAGGAGAAAATTAGTGGCAACATACAGTACGGCAGCGACCCCACCCACGGACCATTCCTTAGCATAGTCGAACTCCTCACCATCATCACTGACGGCAAAGACGACAAGTCCAACTTTGATGAAATACTGGAAGGTGTTGGGGGCAATATCACCGATCTCACTTCAACCATGGTTCAACACTTGGCTAGTGTCCCCCACTTTACCAGTCGCTGGAACAATCCGTCGCACGTCGCCACTGCCGCCTATGCAGGAAGTTGTTATAACATTTGGGCTGGTGACTTCGAAATTAGGTGTCGCCTGCAGACGACATTGCAATCCGTGGGATACATTCCGGAACTGCTCACCACCATATGCAGATTCCACGGTACCCCGGCGGTCGAAGCCATGAACATGTTCCTCTTCGAGCTTGGAATGGCATTGAGAACTATCTCCGACATAGTGCTGGCCTTTCGATCCGGTCTTTTACGAGTTGTCATTACTATCGGAGCATCTATGACTCCGGTGGACAAGGACGCCACCGACTTCCGTGGCCGGATTTATAAAAAGATCGCGGAAATGCTGGAGACCTTCTTGCCATGGTCTCTCATGCATTACACTGTCCTCGCACAGCTGAAACAGTGCTTCCTGGACACTATGGAATTTGCAGCAGATTCTATGATCCACACTTCACCGCTTCGAACCCAATGGGAAAATCTTTCGGCCTTAATGCGCGCGCGCCTCCAGTTCTTTGACTTTTGGGAGGCGCATGGGAGGCCATCTTTTGCTGCATGCGATAACAGGAAGGCAAGTCCCTTTGCGGAAACGATACCACAGTTCCTTACTTCTGCAGTGCGGAAAAATCGATGCGAGACGCAACTTCAAGCGTTGCACTCATTGTGAAAGCGTCACTTACTGCTCAGAACGCTGCCAGTCGGTTGACTGGCGCGCAGAACATAGAGCGATGTGCCAACGCCTCCGATATTCCACCCGCACCCCTCTGCTTCTACTTGCATATAATCCCTCTCCTCTACCGGAAACATTCGAAACTATCAACACGCGTGGTGGATCCTTCCTGCGTGCTCTGCTCACAGATGATTATAAGCGCCAAATGGCTGATGTATGGTTGCGACAAATCCTTTTCCTGTACGAGCACCCTGGCGAAGAGTTTGTGACATTCTTCCGACATTCCGTTTCCCAAGATGTCGAAATCCGTGTCAGGGGAAGAAACACCCTTGATAGAGAAATATGGACAAGACTCTGGGGACTGGAGTCGGCTTTTGAACGCACGGCGCAAAGGAAAGGAC